CTGGCCTCCCGGCTGGGCACAGCTCTCTTTTTTCCTGGGCTCCCACTGCCACCTCACAGTTTTCTACCCTGTGTGTCTGATGAATGAATGAATGAATGAATGAATGTTTCCTCCTTTGCCCCTGACTTTCTCCACCATTACATGGGAGGTCGGCCGAGATGTCTAAGGTTCCTGCCAGCCCCCAGCTGCTTCGCCTCAATCCCTCCCCCACTTCTGGGCCTCTGCCCCCTCTTCATCTCTCCCGTGCATCTTGCCAGCACCTGGCACAGCTGCTGCTCAGCCTCCGGCTCGCAGGCTCCTGCCTTTGAGCCTCTGCCGCCCCTGCTCCTGCCTGGTGAGGAGCCGCCAGCCTGAGGATAGGCCCTCGCAGGAGCCCAGGGACAGGCCGTTCTGGGAAGAGCTGGGTCTTGGGTGCTGCATGTCCCCATCTGCTCTTCTGCTGTTCCTGGGTGGTCTCCTGGGAACCTGGGTCAGAGCTGAGGTCCAAGGCTGTCTGTCTCAGACCGAGAGGGTTCCCTGTGTTGGGGTGTGTGTGTGTGAACCCAGGTGAGAGGGCCAGTGCCCAGTCCCTGCTTGGCACAGAAGTAGGTGACGGGAGCTGGTGGCTTTGCAATGACTCAGGGACGAAGGCGGAGGGTGGATCTCAGGAGCTGGCTCCTTCAGCTGTCCTGAGGGGGGGACCAAAGATTTCTCCAATGGGACCAGGGCAAGAGTCACAGCCTAGCTCCTCCTTCCTGGATGAACTCAGACAAATGACTTGACCTCCTTGAGCTGTGAAATGGGCACACGCCCACCTGCTTTTGGGGGCAGAAGTGGGATTCTGTATAGCGTCTACAGCCTTGCCTGGCACATAGTAGGTGCTTAATGAATATCCTGTTGTTTTCCTTCCACCTTGAAGGGCCACCATGCAGTGCAGGTGTCTCTGTCCAACGAAGGCCAATGTTGAGGAGAGGAAATGGGGCTGCGGACTCTGATGTGAGACAGAGCTGAGGCCTGCGGTGGGTGAGGGGTGGGCTCTGATGGCCTCATTGTGCACAGTCCTCCATCAGCCTGCCACCAACCCTGGAATGGTCCAGAGCCTTTAGGAGACAAGAGGTGGCTTTGGTTCTTTCTATCTCCATTTCCTCATTTGTGAAATGGGTACAATCAGATCTGCCTCACAAATAGACATTAGATGGCCCTTTCTTCCTTCCCTCCCTCCTTCTCACCTCCCTTCCTTTCATCTATCATCCTCTATCTATCATTTATCTATCTATCTATCTATCTATCTATCTATCTATCTATCTATCTAATCATCTATCTATCATCTCTATCACCTATCTATATCATCTGTCTTCTCCAATCCCCACCCTCACTGGTCACAGATTGCTCACCTGTTATGGGCTGGTTAACACTCAGTGATTGCCAGATTTTCTCCCGGGGACCCTGAATTTGAAAAGCCTGGGTTTGCTAAACATGCTGAGCAAATCAACAACTATCCCACTTAGTTCCTCATTTTAAAATGTCAGTCAGCACTCCCTGTGGGTGGGTGGTGCACGGATCTGAGCCTCCCCAACACCAGTCAAGAAAACTAGAAGCTTCCAGAGCCCAGTGCTTCCCAGAGGCTGCTCACCACGGCCTGGGGACCTCCAGGAATCCCCGGCCTGTGTGGCCCCTGCAGTGACTGAGGCCTGGCTCCCCAGGCTGTGGTCACCTCTCCTCTGGGGAGCCCTGCAGTGCAGGGAGTGACCTTTTGTCCCACTCAGCCAGGGGCTTTCTGTTCCTCATTGTTTAGCCATGACAGGGCTGTGGTTTTTTTTTTTTCTTTTTCTGTCCAAGAGGAAAAACAGGCTAGAAATTGCTCAAGGGAGGGCTCGCCCCCATCACCCAGCAGCAGGAGGACGTGTGGGAAAGGGCTTGCAGAGCAAGACTCAGACAGGAGAAGGACCTGAGGGGAGCCAGGGGAGGTCGCTGGGCAGTGGCCTGGGGGCCATCAGAGTCCAGCGCCTGCCTTTGCCCTGGAACCCTTGGCCTGTGGGCGGAGAGAGAGCCCAAACTTGGCCCAGGCAGGGCTCTTTCCCATCAGGCCCTCTGGGCCCTGACAGGAAATCCTCCGCCAGCCAGGAGCCCCCTTGGCCCTGCGGGTCTCAGGCACCACACGAATGAGGGGCTCCCCTAGTTACTGCCCTGGTGCTTGTAGGGATGCAGGGTCCCTGAGACCCTTGCCACCACCCTGTGGCCCCTCCCGCCCTCGGGGGTGCTCCCTGAGGGGGGGAGGCAGCACCAGAGCTGGGTGGGGGGCACAGCCCCTTCCCTGGGAAGCTACACACAGCAGCAGCCTGCAGGGAAGGCCCATGTTGGGGGCCGTGCGGAACAGGCCGCCACAGCAGTGCGGGGAAGGGAGCTGCAGAGGTATGGTCTCTGGTTGCAGGGCTCCCCGCCTTGGATCGCTGGGCCTCCTCCGTGAGCCCCCTCCCCTGGGTCACCTTGCTGCCTCGGTGGGTGCCAGCCAACCATGCGCGTCCAGCAGAGCAGCGTCAGAACCACCTGGGGAGGTTTTCTTTTTTAACAGAGCAGCCTCCTGGGCCCACCCTTGAGCTTCTTGTAACCTGTTTGTTGGGTGGGAGTCGGCATTAGTGACAGGCCTTGCAGAGGCTTTGGACACTGGCAGGGGGCCCCACCCCAGCTGTGGGGAGCCCTGAGACGGGGCCTTGCTTTCCCATTCATTCAGGTGCCTGGCAGCCTGCTCCAGGGCCAGACGGGGAGGGAAGGGTTGGGATGGAGTGTGTGTGCGTGCATGTGTGTGCATGTGCGTGCGTGCATACCTGTGCGTGTGTGTGTGCATGTGTGTGCAGCCATGGGCATGCGAGCTCACGGTCTAGATGGGAGTGGAAGTCATCTTTTGGACTCAGTTGTGCAGAATGGTTCCCACTTCCCTTGCCGGCCACCTGCGTCTCCCCCGCCCTCACTAGAGCTGACTTCCTGGGGTGAGGGCCTGAGCCCAGGCTGGGGTGGGGAAGGGGCTTCAGGGGCTGGCCAGCATGGTGGTTGCTGCCATGTTTGGGCTTCATGGTCCTGGCGCAGGGTTGGACCCTCCAGAAATGACATTGTAACGAAGCCCGCTGCTTGGATTAATGACCCCCGAGCACCTATGACGTGCCAGACTCTGGGCAGTAGCAGTCTCCCCCGTGCCTGCAGCCTCAGAGGGTGCCCGTTTAGTGGGGGCACAGCCTTGTGGCCAGGAGCCCTGAGGGAGGAGGGTCAGTGTTCAGGGTACTAGTGATTATTCAGGGTGGGGTGTGGGCAGGGAAGCTTTGAGGGGAGGCTGCTGGCAGAAGGGGCAATGGAATTTTGTCAGAGGAAGCAAGAGGCTGTTCTGGAGCCACAGATTGAGGGGCAGCTGAAAACCCCAGCCCCTGGGGGTGTCGAGGCGCCAGGCTGGGTCTGGGATTGCCTGCCAGGCCGAGCCGGAAAGGAGCTGGGTTTCCCTGTTGCCTTTTCTCAGTGCTGAGGCCAGCCAAGGGCCCAGTTGCAGCAGTCACTGCTTCACAACGGTGAGGCGGGGGATTAGGAAGATGGGGCGTCATTATCAGGCATCACTCATGGCAGTGTGGGGGACGCTCCGCTGGTATAGGGGATCTGACTAGAGCCTCGGGAGCTCTTAGAGCAACACCTGGCACTCTGTCAGTGCTCCAGAAATGTAACTGTTGTCGCTGTCATCAACAAATGCTCGCCTACTGAGCTCCAGCTCTGCCATGGGCTGCATGTTGGCAGCCGAGGGCCTAGAGGGGGTGAGGCCGTCATTTGTATCCTGTGTGTTGCAGACATGTGGTGTGTATGTGCACGTGTGCAAGTGTACCCGTGCAAGATGGGAGGACAAGTAGGTACCCCATTTCAGCACAATGAGACGATTGTTCGAAGGGGCCATATCCAGTGTTCAGAGAGGGGCCGGAGCAGAAGGAACTGGAATCAGCCTGGGAGAGTCAGGGAGGGCTTCCCAGAGGAGGCAGTAGTTGATTGGAAGGAAGAAGAGGGGAGTCCCAGGTGCAGGAAGGAAGGATGGGGAGGCATCCTAGGCAGAGGACCACATTGTGCTGAGCACTGCGTGTCTCTGTGACTGAGGCCTCTGCCTTTGGGGCAGCTTTAAGGGCCCTGTGTCTGCCCCGTGTAGTGTTAGGAGCCAGCCTCACCCTCCCGCCAGCTGGCTCAGTGTCTCCACCTGCAGACATGAGTGCTGCGCTGAGGGAAGAAGAGGGGAGGTGGAAGAAGGCCAGGACTCTCTCCCTGCTACCTCCACT